CTTGAGCCTTGGTTCCTACCCAGATTTCCTGCCCGCATTTTTTCCCTTCGGGGTTTTTTTGGGCAGGTTTTTTCTGGCCTCCGTCTTACCGCATTCGTTTCAGTTGTAAGCGGTAGCTCAGCTCTGCTAGTCTTCAGTTTGTTTTGTTTTCCCGTTTCTTATCTTATGTACTCGTTTGGTTTTTCACAGTTGTCTAGCTGTTCCTTTACTTAATATATTTACGTTAGATGTGTATAAAATAAATCATTTGATTTTTTATATGTTTATTTTCTATGTATGCTTAGTTCAGCTGTCCTGGGACCGCTCTTTAAGTGGCGAGATATGTCTAGCTTGACGCAGTTTGATTGCTTACAATGTGACAGACTTCTTGTAAGGGTTGTTAGCCATTTGTTTACCCTTAATGTCCTGTCCTAGCCTTTTCTGGTAGCCTAACTGGCAATTGGCCTACATGCCTTGTTAGGTAGGTCAGTGAACGATTCTCAGTTTTTTTCCCGGCGCTCAGCCTCTGCTTTCCTTCAGTGTTCCCTGTCCCAGTTATTCGTTGATCAGAGTTTTATTTAGTTTCCCCAGCCTAACCGGCAGCCTAACTGGCAGCTTAACTGGCAGTCTAGCTGACACTAAGTCTGCGTGCTTAAATAGGGGATTCAGGTCGAGATCGACCAGATGTAGCAGTTCTTTCTTTTTGTGAAAGCTAGTTTATTTACGAGTGTTGTACATTAGTTATTTACCTATTGCTGTATTTCATACGTACTTTTAAGGTTGGTTCTCGCCAAGCCGTCCCCAAATAAACTTATTTGCGTTTACATTTTGTCTGTTGATGTTGTGTAGTGGAGTCAAAATCTAGTAGTTGTCGGTAGTTACCAGTACTGTACAGTACCGCAAATGATCCCCAACCGCAAATGATTCCGAGACCGCAAATGATCCCCAAACTGGACCGCAAATGATCCTCGACCGCAAGTGATCCCCAAAGTCGACCGCAAATGATCCCGTGAAAAATTGAGGGAATTGATTGGATCTTACGGGACTGATTACAAAAAAGGACTGATTATAACAAGGAACCTTTTTCTCTTGCCTTCTAGAGAAAAAGGCATGGAGGACGCCAGATCTCAGGTCAATTTGTACAAGGCGAAAAAAAAATGGAATAAATCTGAAAATGATATGGTTTCAAGAATGTTTCATCGGTGTAAAGAAAAATCCTTAATTTTGTATTAAATTTGTGTAACGCCTAAAAGCTCAACTTGTCTACTGAGGAATACAAAGCCGGGCACCCTTTACATAACAAGCGCTTAATTGACTTTACTGATCTTTTTGGAAGTGTCGAATTAATTTTCAGATATTTAATTATGATTATTCTCTGAAGTGTTAATTTTACGTGATAAACAGCAAGACATTTGATTGTAACCCAAGTGCTTGTTACGAAACAAGACATGATTTAAAATAAACAAACGTCAAAATGCCCCCGAACTTATCAATGTTCACAGAATTCGGTTTATTTCGATACCAATTTTCGTTACAGCTTATGAACATGTTGCGAATAGTTATATTGACGCTTATATGTATATTCATTTGTTGTGCCTTTGCTGGAGACAGTTACCAGGAATCTAAACCTGGTAAAGAAAAACACAAAAGCGAGGTTAGTTATGTTTATTTTTACTTATCCCAGCCAGAAAGAATGTCAACATTCGGATTACGGTAAGCACGTGGCTAGGTATTCCATTTAAGAAGTATTTGGAGACTGACGGGACCATAGTAATACACAAAAAAGTGCTATTGATATAACGGGAATAGTGTTCCTGAGCCTCTAGATTTTCTGCTCCCAGACTCTCTACTCGGGCTATCGTTCACCCTCGGCGACCGCAGATCTTTCCTATGTCAACTCAATACTAAGCTTTGAAGACGCACCTAGCTTAGTAGGATGCTTAAATATAAATTGCACATGCAGTTGGTGTCTCATGTAAACAATTTACTGGCCCCATTAATATTTCAACCAAACAAAACTTCTAAAAACTAAAAAAAAAACAAACGCCAGTGTAAATTTGAAAAGAAAAAATTCGTCCTTTATTCAGTTTTCAAAAGAGTTGACGAATATTATAATTTCGTTTGTTATCGGCCTCAACAGAAAAATGTCCCAATAGACATTTTGATTTAACGATGTCTTGAAAGAAATTTTTTCATTTACTTTTTATTTATGTAATTATTTGGGAAGCAAAATTTCGCTTTTAATAATAATAATAATAATAGTAAAATTGACCCAATGATCCGCAAACTTGAGTCCAAGCCATTCCTATTTTTCTTTCGGGATCATTTGTGGTCGACTTTAATTTGGGGATCACTTGCGGTCGAGGATCATTTGCGGTCCATTTTGGGGATCATTTGCAGTCTCGGGTTCATTTGCGGTTGGGGATCATTTGCAGTACTGTACAGTACTTTTCGGTAGTTGCTAGTAGTTGTCGTTTAAGTTACTGGTAGTTAATGGTGGTTACTAGTAGTTTTCGGTAGTTACTGGTATTACTAGTAGTTACTGGTAGTTACTAGTGGTTGTCGGTAGTTACCAGAAGTTTTCGGTAGTTACTGGTGGTTGTCGGTGGTTACTAGTAGTTGCCAGTAGTAACTAGTAGTTGTCGGTAGTTACCAGTAGTCTTCGGTAGTTACTAGTAGTTGCCGGTAGTTACTAGTAGTTATTGGTAGTTACTAGTAGTTGTCGGTAGTTACGAGTAGTTATTGGTAGTAACCAGTAGTTGTCGGTAGTTACTAGTAGTTATTGGTAGTTACTAGTAGTTGCCAGTAGTTACTAGTAGTTGCTACTAGTTAATAGTAGTTTTCTGTAGTTACTGGTAGTTACTAACCTACAAATGAATTAGATTACATTGCTGGGAGAACACCCCATAAAGTCTACTCGCCAATAACTACCAGTAACTACCGAATACTACAAGTAACTACCAGTAACTACCGACAACTACTGGTAACCATTAACAACTACTAGTAATTACCGACAACTACTAGTAACTACCGGCAACTACTAGTAACTACCAATAACTACTAGTAACTACCGACAACTACTAGTGACTACCAGTAACTACCGACAACTACTAGTGACTACCAGTAACTACCGATAACTACTAGTAACTACCTGTAACTACCGAAAACACTAGTAATTACCGACAACTACTAGTACCTACCGGTAACTACTAGTAACTACCAATAACTACTAGTAACTACCGACAACTACTAGTAACTACCAGTAACTACCGACAACTACTAGTAGCCACCAGAAACTACCGAAAACTACTAGTAATTACCGACAGCTACTAGCAACTAGCGGCAACCACTAGTAACTACCAATAACTACTAGTAACTACCGACAACTACTAGTAACTACCAGTAACTACCGACAACTACTAGTAATTACCGATAGCTATTAGCAACTACCGGCAACTACTAGCAACTACTAGCAACTACCGGCAACTACTAGTAACTACCGACATTTACTAGTAACTACCAGTAACTACCGAAAACTACTAGTAATTACCGACAGCTACTAGCAACTACCGACAAATACTAGTAACTACCGGCAACTACTAATAACTACCAATAACTAATAGTGACTACCGACAACTACTAGTAACTACCAGTAACTACCGACAACTACTAGTAACTACCAGTAACTACCGAAAACTACTAGTTATTACCGACAGCTACTAGTAACTACCGGCAACTACTGCTAACTACCAATATATTCTCCATCTTGAACGGATTTGGCTTACGGATCTCCAGATAAGTACTGACTCTGATCTCTCACTTTTGTTTAATCTGCATACTGATGAACGTGAACTCGTTTAAAAATATTTTCTCCTTCTTGAACAGATTTGGCTTATGGAACTTCAGTTAAGTTCTGACTCTGAACTTTTTCTTTCAAATCTTGTTCTCCAATGGATTTGATTATTTAACGTCCTCTTGCAAAGTGTATAATATATTTAAATTTAATTTGTCATTGCAATCATCCACCTTTTGTTATTTTATTATTATTATTATTATTATTATTATTATTATTATTATTANCATCCACCTTTTGTTATTTTATTATTATTATTATTATTATTATTATTATTATTATTATTACTATTCATTTATATTCTTTACTTGTATTTGTAATTAATATTGTAGTCCTATGCCTAGTTATTTCCCATGCACAGTCTGCAGATTTAATGTCCATAATAATCACCAGGCAATTTTCTGTGATAGCTGTCACAATTGGACACACCTTGGATGTTCTCCTTTTACCAGACTAGAATACAGTGCTATGTCTAAATCGAGTGATGACTGGTACTGTTCAGCATGTCTGGCTAGTATTTTTCCATTTAATCATTTTGACAATGATATTGATTTCTTCTTTGCACTGTACGATTTCAATTCTCAAGGTGATTTTGATACGGAATTGCTTAAACAGGAGAAATTTAACCCTTTTTTTGATGACCCTGAGACATCTCATTTATTAATGAACTCCAACCTTGATCCCGAAGCTAACTTTTTCGCAGCTAATTCACAATTACTTTCTAACTGCCTCTATCTAACCTCTACAGAATTTAATAAAATACCACCACTTTGTTCTGATACATTTTCCTCACTTCATATTAATATTCGTAGTCTACCTTAACACTTTGATGACTTATCAGAATTTCTTCTTACATTGAACAGGTCTTTCTCCATTATTACTGTTTCTGAAACCTGGTTACATAGGTCTAATTCTGATTTATTCCATTTGCCAGGCTACCATTTTATCTCTAGTCACAGAGAACATAAAGCGGGTGGCGGGGTTGGTATTTGTATTCAGTCTCACTTAAAATTCAAGCTTAGAACTGATCTCCAATCCTCTGATAATGCACTGTATGAATCGGTCCTTGTAGAAATTATTCAACCACACAGAAAGAATATCATTGTTGCTGCTTTTATCGACCCCCTGATGCCTCGGTTGCTGATTTTAACAACTCTCTCGAAGGCATCTTATCGACTATCAGCTTTGAGAATAAGCTATCTTATCTCATGGGTGATTTTAATATTTTAAATATCCTTAATTCACAATCCCACCAACCTTCTAATGATTTCATCAATCTTATGGTATCTAATAGTCTATATCCTTTGATTTCTAAGCCAACTCGCCTAACTATCACAACTGCAACTCTGATTGATAATATATTTACAAACAATCGCGAACACTGTATGAATAGTGACATTTTCTACTCTGATTTATCTGATCATCTCCTAATTTTCCAAGTCACTCATCTAAAATTAGATGCTGAAACGCCTTGCAGAAAGAGATTGGCACGCCTCATTAACCCTGCAACAATTGCAGCATTCAGGTCTAAATTGGAAACCATTGATTAGTCTGTTATCTATAACTCTGACTCTACCAATGACTCCTATGACACATTCTCTAGTCTTCTTATTTCAGCATATCATAAGTCATTTCCACTTAAACCCGTATACCCTGAATCCGGGCGTTCTTCTAAACCCTGGTTTTTAAAAGGTCTCTTTGTATCCTGTAACAGGAAGAATTCCCTTTATAAACAATTCCAAACAAACCCTACTGAATCCAACAAATCTAGATATAACAAGTATCGAAATAAGTACAATTTTCTCATTAGAGTTGCTAGGAAAAAATATTTTCATGACAAATTAGTCTCGGTTAGCTCAGACCTGAGGAAGACTTGGTCAGTTATTAAGCAGATTATTTCTAAAAAGAAATCTGAACAACATTTTAGTAATATAAAAAACAGTACCGGTGTCTGTTCAGACCCTTTACGTATAGCTACTAACTTTAATAATTTCTTTGCTAACATAGGACCCTCTCTGGCCAGTAAAGTTCCATCTACTCAATTTTCTCATAAAGATTTCCTTGTTGGTCACTTTGCTGATTGTTTCTTTCTAAATCCCACTTCTCCTGCTGAGGTTACCTCTATTGTTCATAGTCTAAAAAATAGCAAATGTGAGGGTGTTGATGGTCTTTCTATATCTCCCATCAAAGAAACAATTGATTTACTTGCTGTTCCTTTATCTCATATTTGCAATCTATCATTTGAGCGTGGTGTCTTTCCTGATAAACTCAAAATTGCAAAGATTCTCCCAGTTTTTAAAAGTGATGACCCTTCTTTGTTCTCAAACTATCGGCCTATTTCTATTCTCCCCTGTCTTTCTAAGGTCTTCGAGAAACTTTTTTACCTCAGGTTATCAGGATTTCTCACAAAGTTTAATATCCTTAATCATCATTAGTATGGCTTTAGACCACATCACTCTACTGCTATGGCTATCTTAGAACTTGTCAACAATATTTATGAAGGTTTTGAAAACAATCGGTACACTGTTGGAGTCTTCATTGATCTTAAGAAAACATTTGATACAGTCAACCATGAAATACTTTTGGATAAACTAAATTTTTATGGCATTAGAGGTATCCCATTAACCTGGCTGACTAGCTATTTGTCTCACAGACAGCAGTGTGTCATGGTCCATGACCATACCTCTTCATTTAATCCGGTCGTTTGTGGGGTTCCCCAGGGTTCAGTTCTTGGACCTTTACTTTTTCTTTTGTACATCAATGATCTTTTTCATGTCTCCAATCTCTTGTCTATCATTCTCTTTGCTGATGATACAAATATCTTTCTTCGTCATAATGACCTGGCTACCTTAGCAACCATTCTCAATGTAGAGCTCTCTCATGTCTCTTCTTGGTTTAATGCTGGCAAACTCACTGTTCATCCTGCCAAGTCTAAATTCATCATTTTTCACCCGCGACGTAAACAAATTAACTCCTCAGATATAAACATATTTATAAATAATTCTCTCATCACACGTGTGCAGGAAGACAAATTTCTTGGGATTATCATTCATGAAAATTTATCTTGGAAACCGCATATCTCTGCTGTCTGTGATAAAGTCTCTAAAGTAATAGGAGTCTTATGCAAGTCGAGGCGATACTTACCCTTGAATACTTTGAAAAATTTATATAATTCTCTTTTCTTACCTTACATCAATTATTGCAGTTTAATATGGGCATCTACTTATGCTTCTTACCTTAAACCCCTTTATGTACTCCAAAAGAAAGTTGTTCGTGTAATTACTTTTTCTCCTCCGCGCACATCCTCTAAGCCCCTTTTTTCTAAGCATAATATTTTTTCACTCTACTCTATCTATAAATTCCATGTTGCTTGTTTTGTATTCTCACATTTTAATAGCCTTTTACCTACTCCTGTTTCCTCGATCCTTCATTTTAATTCTGAATATCACGATTATATGACTCGTTCACGTTTTAATTTGCATAAAACCTGTCATAAGTACCAATTTGCTATCACTTGGCAAGCTCCTATTATTTGGAATGATATTCCGTTAACTGTGCGCAATAATCTCACAGTAAGGAACTTTAAAAAAAAACTTAAGACTGTATTTTTCTGAGTAGTTAATTAGCCTATGCATAATATGTACACCTTATGGGACTATACTAGGTGTATTTATTTGTAGTTGTTTGTGTGGTTATAGGAATTATTAGGAACAATAATAGGTTTCTAAGAATTATTAGTTGTTTAAATATTTGAAATTAGTTGCCAAGTATTGTATTTTAGTTGTAAGTTTTTCTAACTGACCTTTTCTTTCTTGATCTAATTGTATTGTAATTATTTTAGTTAAAGCCTTCTTCTATTCCTGTAAATTCTTCGTCTTTTTTTTTTTGGCTGACCTCAGGCCATTTAAGCCCCCGGCTTTGGCTGTTCTTGTGTATTTTTTTCTTCCCGGAAATGATTAATTAAACGTATTATTATTATTATTATTAACTACAAGTAACTAGTGCTGACAACTATTAGCCACTACCGACAACTACCAGTAACTACCGACACCTACTAGTAACTACCAATAACTACTAGTAACTATCGGCAACTACTAGTAACTACCCGTAACTACCAACAACTACTCGTTACTACCAGTAACTACCAGTAACTACCGACACTACTAGTACAGTGTAACTACCAGTAACTACCGACAACTACTAGCAACTACTGACAACTACTGGAAACTAGCGATAACTACTAGTAACTACCAGTAACTACCGACAACTACAAGTAACTACAAGTAACTACCGACAACTATTGGTCACCACTGACAACTACTAATAACTACCGAAAACTACTAGTAACTACCGGCAACTACTACTAACTACCAATAACTACTTGTAACTACCGACAACTACTAGTAACTACCAGTAACTACCGACAACTAACTACTAGTAACTACCAGTAACCACCGAAAACTACTGGTAATTACGAAAACTACTAGCAACTACTGGCAACTACTGCTAACTACCAATAACTACTAGTAACTAGTGCCGACAACTACTAGCAACTACCGACAACTACTAGTAACAACCGACAACTACTATTAACTACCAATAACTACTAGTAACTACCGACAACTACTAGTAACAACCGACAACTACTATTAACTACCAATAACTACTAGTAACTACCGGCAACTACTAGTTACTACTATTAACTACCCACATTTACTAGTAACTACCGGCAACTACTAGTAACTACTAGTAACTACCGACAACTATTGGTAACCACTGACATCTACTAGTAACTACCGACAACTATTTAGTAACTATTAGTAACTACCGGTAACAACTAGTAACTACCAGTAAGTACCGACAACTAGTAGTAACTACCGACAACTACTCGTAACTACCAGTAACTACTAGCAATTCAGTATCCTTTACCGAGGACCTAAAATCTGGAATTCGTTGCCTGTTTCACTTATTAGCTCTCCTTCTATATCTGTTTTTAAAAAAAATTTAAAGAATTATCTCACTAATAGCCGATCTGTCGTTTAATTTTCTGATCTTGCTCACTCTGCACTCAGCCATGAACTTAGTTCACTAGGTAGTTGAAGGAAACCTATTAATATAAGCTTCAAGCTTCGTTAGGCTTCCTTGTCACATTAGTTTTATAATTTAATTAACACCTTTTGTTCATGTTGTGTAAGGTTTTGTGAGTGACCAAATAAATAAATAAATAAATAAACTAGTAACTACCGACAACTACTAGTACACTGTAACTACCAGTAACTACTGACATCTACTACTAACTACCGACAACTACTAGCAACTACCGACAACTACTAGAAACTACTAATAACTACTAATAACTACCAATAACTACTAGTAACTACCAGTAACTACTAGTAACTACCGGCAGCTACTGGTAACTACCAGTAACTACCGACAACTACTAGTAACTACTAGTAACGACCAGCAACTACCGACAACTACTAGTAACTACTGACAACTACTAGCAACTAGTGACAACTACTAGCAACTACCGATAACTACTAGTAACTACCAGTAACTTCCAACAATTACTATTAACTACTAGTAACTACCAGTAACTACCGAAAACTACTGTTAACTACCGGCAAGTACTAGTAACTACCAATAACTACTAGTAACTACCAGTAACTACCGACAACTACTGGTAACCACCGACAACTACTAGTAACTACCGACAACTATTTAGTCACTAAGATTATTATTCATTCAAAATATTTCCCCGATTCTGATTGGCTAAAAGCACACGCATAATTCGCCGTAACCAGTTTCTGACGACCAAATTT